CACAAAGATGAGCTTTACAACTTTCAATTAATTAACAAGATCAATTAACTTAGTACAAAAAAAAGTTTACTTTGGAGTAATTTCAAATTTGACCTATATTAGATTTATATAATAAACTGAGTTATGTTCTATTATATTTATTCTTTAGTTAACTGGAGAATTATCAATTAAAAAATAATTTATATTACAAATAATTAATATTTTATAGTTGAATTAGGATTTAGAGTTAGAATTTATAGTTAAAGAGTATAGATAAGTTTTAATCAAATTTATATTTTTATATAGAGACTAAATTTTAGCATTATCTGATTTCAGCATAATTCTTCATTCTCTACATAGTCAAATCTTTTAAGTGCACTCTTTGTAAGTGCACACACTCTCTAAATATACATTCAAGTACTAGCCCAAATATATACTTGATCTCTTAAATGCACTTTTTCTTGTTATTCTCTATATGCATGTTATTAAAATATGGCGCACTTAGAGAGGTTTAGCTGTATTAAAATATGGTCTCAAGGGCGTGTACTTAGAAAGGTTTAACTGTATTTAGAAGTTTTAAAAATTTTGTATTTAAACTATTATACTGTATATAGTATAACTATTTATTGGTTTTAAAACTGTATTCTAACTTTAAATTGTAGTAAAATTAAATTATTACAAGATTTTTTTATTTTTTAAATATTATAATACAGTAATCTATTTGATTTTTTTGTAATACTGTATACTTGTATTATGATTATAGAATTTAATATACTAAACATACAGTATTAATTTTGTAAAAACAATCAAATTTGCAAATTATTTGGACTAAAAAATTCTAAAAAATAAATTTTTAAAACTTTTATAATTTTTAGATCAAATGAACTAGAATTAATTTGTTTTAAAAAAGATTAACATGTACTGTACAGTATATTGAATTTATTCGTTGATCCTTTTGAAATCAAGTTCTAACAACCCTTTTTAAGAATTAGTAAGAACTTGGTTCTTAAATCACATGAAAAAATAATACATTTATATTTCCTGTATTCTGAACAATATGTGATTAAATTTTAGGATAAAGTATCGAAAGGTATTATTTTAATCGATTTTATTAGGTGAACTTATTCAATAATTGCGATTTAGGATCCAATCCTGGGATCAACCAACTAATGATTTTTTGTATCAAATCCGGGACTATCATTTCAGGTCTTAGGACACCTAAATTAGCTTTTATGTGTAGAGGATCTGATCTAAGATCCGTGTGGAAAAAATAAATTTAGTCCGCTGATCTTTGATCTTATGATTCGGATCGGTGGTCGGATGGGCGAAATTGATAAATTTCGTCCAAAGATTTTACTAATGAAATCATAGTCGTTCATTAAGTAAAAAGTGCCAGCTGATAATTTTACTGTAGCTCCTGCTAACCAGTAAGCCAATCCTAACCCTAACTCCGATGCATTCCGACCAGAAATTTTGACATCAATGCTTTCGAATTAGGGTTCTGCAAATGTCGGGCATGGTGCCGTTGAAACATAGTGCCCGGCTAGGGCTGTTAATCAAAGTAGTGCGGTCCAGAGAACTATCAAAACTAACCACACCAAAGTTATTACTTCAGATTAAATTATATATAATTTCACCTGGAGTATGTTACTCCAGATTAAATTTATAGTATATATGTACATACGTATGTTTTAAAACGTCTTGCTAATTATAGTTTAGAATTTGATACGTATGCTGAATGTCTTAATAAAATTATTATTTTTAATAATATTTATTATTAACAATTAAATATCTTTAATCTGGAATAGTACTGTATTAGTAGTAGTTCTGTCATAGCAATTTGGAGGATGTAGCATACAAACCACGCTGGCATGGGCCTAACCCACTTGCAGAACCAAATTTCGAATAGTTAACTTTTGTAATACTATTATTATACGTATACAATTTATATATTATCTCAAATTATACAAAAATACAATATTAACTTTTTTAATTATTATAAAATTTTTTGATACGTATTACCATATTTTCTATATAACAAGATTTAAATAGTTTTTAGTTCAAAAATCTAAAAGTTTAGTTACTAAGCTACATATCAACCCACACACAGGTTTACAATAATTAATTTATAATACATACGTACGTACGTATTTACATCATTTATCTAAATAAATTTTTTCGTGTTCACGATGTATATATATTTAGAAGTATTAACTAAAGAACAGAGAAAAACCGGATAAACGGGCTGATTAGTAACATCGTAACCACTCTACAGTATGTTGCAAACAGCGTTTGACTGTTAATTTTAACGTTAAAATTTTAATGTACTGTGCTTGATGCTCAATAATCTTTATGATAATATACTAATACAAAAAAAAATTTTTTTTTGATACGTACGTACGTACGTACCAAAAAATTTATACGTAATGCCCGATAGCAGATAATCAGTATCTATATATCTATATACCGATACTGTAACATTAATATTGAATGTGTAACATAATCAGGTGATATAAATCTTTTTGGCTAATTGAGCTTAACGAACTTCAAAGTAACCTTTTTTTTTAAAAAAAAAAATGGCAGACCCGGTTGACTACTGGTAAGAGAATAAGAAATTGAGATTGAAATACCTTTTTAATACTCACTTTTGTCGTTTAAATCCAAAACTAGTCCTGTATACTCTCCCATCTTTGGCGCTTTGGGCTGTACTTCGGCTATTGTATTTGCATGTAAGTACTTTATCGAGATTCTTTATTCATTCACTAACGTCGCATCGAACTATTGGTTCCAAAGGTGCTGACAATTTAATCTAATCTCGATTGTAATGTATGGTATTTAATATGAATTATTATGTCTTTGAAATTTAAAAGGTTTTGGCGCTGCATATGGCACGGCAAAGTCAGGTGTAGGTTTATCAGCAATGGGTATATTGCGTCCTGATTTAATTATGAAGTCCATAGTACCAATTGTTATGGCGGGTATTATCGGTATTTATGGATTAGTCGTGGCTGTTTTGATTTCTGATGGTCGTAAGTATTCATTAATTCGTAAACTATGTAATACTGTAAAAAATTGTGATTTGATTTATAGAATTTATAATTCCGTAAATAATATCTCAATTTTGTGGGATTCTTTCGAGATCATGGAAGAGTGTGGTGGTAGTCAATATTTTATTTTCACTAACGTAATTTGATATTGCAAATTTAAGTCAAACAAAAAATGCCACTATATACGTAAGTTATTGTTAATTCTATAACTCTGCGAATTTTGGTTATTCAACTATTTTATAATTGTATACAAATGAATGTCCAATAGTGGGTTTATTCAACTCGGTGCAGGCTTAAGCGTCGGTCTCGCAGGGCTCGCTGCCGGATTTGCAATTGGAGTTGTAGGCGATGCCGGTGTACGTGCTACTGCACAACAACCACGATTATATGTTGGAATGGTGAGTGAATAAAATTACAATTAAATATCTGATATACGTAATTTAGCAATAAATACTGAATGATTGGTTTGAAACTAGATTTTAATTCTCATTTTCGCTGAAGTATTGGGTCTTTATGGATTAATTGTTGGATTGATCTTGAATACCAAGTCTAGTGGTACATGTTAATAAAGTGAAATACTTTAGTAAGGAATGGTCTTGATGTTTTTGGTAAATGAATGTTATTTAGAACTTTTAAATGATTATTATATTTGGACTAACGAAGCATGGAAAACAAAACAAAACGTGCATGCATAATATGTTCTATTATATAAATGTATGTTATAATCAATGCAGATGTTTGGAGTTTATACAGATTATGATAGCTTGGTTTTTTATTTCATTCAGTCTTGATTTTTTTATTGTATTTTATTTTGTGATATTGATAATTTCAATCTTTAATTAAAAGATAGAAATAAAAAGTTGTTACAAATTCAAAATCAAATTATATGAGAACAATTGTTTTAACGTAATATATATAAAAGTTTATATATTATATATATTATGCTATATGCCAAATGTTTAAATAACGCATTATACAATACAAATTTATTACTATTTAATTACCGCCTGGATGTTTACTATCTCCGTTGATAATAAAAGTTTTTATAGTTATATATACGCGCAATACTGGTATAACAAAGTAACCACTAAAATGATAACCTAAATACACCATTTTTTAGTTATTGATTAAAAAGCCCCGTATAGAAACTTTTCATCCGGTATAAAAGTCAATTTCATTGGTGATCTGAACCAGATATCAAAGGCATCGACCGGATAACTAACCCAATCTCAACTAAATACAATCGGGATTGTTTTGTTACAACCGAACCATCTGAGAGTAAACCGAGTCAGTTGTGTCAACAAAGTTAATAAAGCCAACCAAGTAAGCCAATTATTCAGGCTGACCAAAAGTTTAACCAATCAGAATTTTCTTTCAAGAGATTACTAATCATTTTGATTTGCTCAAAGGGGTTTTCCAGCCTTTTTTAAAGCTAATACGTAGCAGTAACAAACTAAATAGTTCATAACTTAAATTAGTTTATAAATAAAAAATTCAAGATACAATATCACACTAATTAGAGATTTGTCTGTGGCCTATACTTAATTGTGTCAATGCAGTCTACCCTCATTGATATCAACCTCGTTAATATCAACCTAAGCTATGAGATAAATTTTTTGTATATTAAAACTCTCTTATATATATCAACTTTAATATAATCTCTTGTTAATATTACTATTAACATAAATTTAAACCAATTCAAATAGGTTAATATAAATAGATAAACAAAAAATTTATAAAAATTGACTTTAATTATTATATCTTTATATGGGAGTGAACGCATCAAATCTTTTTTAATGAAATTTTTTTAAATTTTAAACAAAATAATTTAACAAAAAGTTAATCAAATCTAGTAAAAAATTTTTTAAATAATTTCTATGTTATTTTTAAAAAAAAATTTATTAAATTTGATTAAGTTAAAAAAAATTTGTTGTGTTTCTGCTAACTTACTCATATACTGTATACTGTATAATATACAAGCACCCTTTTTCCAATATATTGAGTGTACTTATATTCAAATAAACCTTTTTTTGACACAATACATTTAGAGAGATCTAACTGTATATAAAATTTTAAAATTAGAAAGAGGTTAGGCCATGCAAAATTAATTAATTGGTTTTCATAACCCGGCCGGGTCAAAATTTGAAAATTTCAAAAAAAAATTTT